CCCCACCCCACCCCGCAGACAGTGGCAGACGGTAAGATTGACACGGGCAGGAATTCCCACAAGTTATCCCCCACCCCACCCCGCAGACAGTGGCAGACGGTAAGATTGACACGGGCAGGAATTCCCACAAGTTATCCCCCACCCCACCCCGCAGACAGTGGCAGACGGTAAGATTGACACGGGCAGGAATTCCCACAAGTTATCCCCCACCCCACCCCGCAGACAGTGGCAGACGGTAAGATTGACACGGGCAGGAATTCCCACAAGTTATCCCCCACCCCACCCCGCAGACAGTGGCAGACGGTAAGATTGACACGGGCAGGAATTCCCACAAGCTGCAATGAAAGACTTCTCCTAAAGAACGTTCATGAAACCAAGACAAATGTTTATGCAGGCCTTGCAAGGCTTTGTCAAGGTTCGCCTGAAGCAACTTCAGATTTCTAGGTCCGACCATATTTAATAAACGAACAACTGTGGTCCGACCGGTTTAACCGTTTATACTAAAACGGCCCTGGTACTTGCCTGTATTGCTCGCTGGAAGAACTTGATGGCAGTGTCATGCTCTCGCTGTAGACTGAAACAGTTCCCCATGGCACACCACGCCTGTGGTATAAAGAAGACATATACTTCAAATATAATTTACTTCTGCAATTTGACTTTTTTCAGGTAATATTGTATTGCATGTCACGTTTCTCTTTTATGCGTATGAAAAGAGGCTGTTGCTCCTGTGATAGGAATACTGTCCAAATTTTAATCCTTTTTCACTCAATTTTTTCTTAAATGTTCGGACAAAGTCCTGACATGTTGTATTTACCAAAGGAATCCTGTGCTGCCTTACCTGTGGAGCCGATTTATCCATGTCAGAGAGTTCCTGAGCAAGGGTAGATAACTCAACATCCTTCTGTAAATGCCATAAGGTAGTACTGTGTATTTCCAGGCCATCCAAATGGTAAGGTTCTAATGACCTCACTTCGGAGAAAACACGCTCGGCCTGAAACCCAATATCTCATGCATGTAGGCTTGTTATCGGGCTCGGACAGACAGGTCGACAGATATGACTATTCCAGAATGGAACCATATAGCGGCACAATTTCAAATGCCAATCAAATAATTAAAACTGATTTAAACCCCTTAATATATATATTCACACACATGCTCACAACTCATATACAAGATCAATTCTCAAATAAATGTAGAACTTTTGTTATCGGGTGAGATGGGTCAACAGTTACGTGATAGAATGAAGATCCCTAAGGCTACATTCGCGTTACCGGTTGAAACGGTTGAACCTGTAAAGAAAACGACAGGTACAGATTTGGACCGAGGCTGACCTCAGGAAAATTTGGTACGTGTAGATTGAGGGGTCCAGACGTACCTGGCCGAAACTAAACTGCTGAATATTGCTAGTTTGCGTTATTCTTTCTAAAACAATGTCAAGCCACATGTAGTTTTTATGATACGTTATGTAATTTTGTGGACGCGTGAGGGCATAATAATCTTGATGCATTGTTTTTTATTCTCCGAAACTGTGCATTTTTAGCTCTGCTTATAGAACGGTCCAAGTGTGTTCGTTTATCGTGGAAAATTTCTGCGCCACACGTACCGTTTCAACCGGTAACGCGAATGTAGCCTAACTGTCCGGTTGAGCAGACGAAGGGTAGATAGTCCTCACTTCCTCATACCATACCTAAGCAGGCATACCCACCTATAGGATGATTTTTCATTTGATAATAGCAGCCGGATGTAAATGAATTGACAAGGCTGGGTGGTCTGTAGTACTCACCTTCTGATTTGGAGTAACTAGGTACAACCCACCAGAGTGATAGATTTCACTGATTATTTTTAGTTCTTTTTAATGATAATTTAGGTGTTGTAAATGATCTGATTAATGAGGAGATGTTAAAACCTGTGCTCAAAATCTGATACTTGGCAAGCTCTAATTATCACATTCCAAATGCAAATTTCCAATGGATTTGATTTACTAGGGAAGGTAATGTACAGAATTCACATATAGTACTTGTACACCAGGCAATTTCAAGCTGATGAATTGGTTTTGACAAAGGGAGGTAATTTATAAAACTTAAGATTCTGACAAAGCATAAGAGGGGGCCTGTTCGTTTATGCGGAACAACCAGTTTGTCTGTTTTTAAATGTAACAATTTGGGGTATAAATCCTGGCGAACGTGCAATTGTTCATTCAGGCCTTACAAGGCATTGTCAAAGCTCGCCTGAAAGCACCATCAGGTTTCTAGGTCCGACCTTATTTCATTACAGAACAACTCTGGTTCAACCGGTACAACCGTTCGGATTGCGATAAACAAAAGAGGCCCTGATCAGTTCAATTCTAATAGGGGAGGTAATATATAGAACTCTCATTCTGACAGAGGGTAAGCTAAACAATATGACAAGGGGAAGTAACACATCCTCACCTTCTGATACTGGGCGAGCTCAAAGTATGCGCGTCCCACCTTACACAGGACATAGCCAGTGTTGTAGTGGTGGAGGGGCAGGTCCTGGAAGCACTCGATGGCCTTTCTACAGTCATACTGACTCAGGGCCTGGTATGCCCGCCCCATGCTCTGCAACAGGTTCAGCATTCCACCTTCAAAGCACATGGTCAAAACCTTTTTACTGGTCATGCAGACTATTATGGACAAAATTCAAGCACATGTCATGCAGTTTTCAAGCAGTTTCTTGCGATTCTTCCTTGCGTTTGGATAAAAGGATAAAGATTGTGTTCATTCACCTACCTTATCAGTGTTTATACTTACACAAGGACTGATGTTGTATCTGGAGAATCTGGGTTTGTGACGGTGTGTCCGACTGTCGTGGCTTTGTACCCGTGTCATTCACCTAGCCTATCAGTGTTTATACTTACATAAGGACTGATGTTGTATCTGGGGAATCTGTGGTTGTGACGGTGTGTCCGACTGTAGTGGCTTTGTACCCGTGTCACTAACCTACCTTATCAGTGTTTATACTTACACAAGGACTGATGTTGTATCTGGAGAATCTGTGTTTGTGACGGTGTGTCCGACTGTAGTGGCTTTGTACCTGTGTCATTCACCTACCTTATCAGTGTTTATACTTACACAAGGACTGATGTTGTATCTGGAGAATCTGTGTTTGTGACGGTGTGTCCGACTGTAGAGGCTTCGTACCCGTGTCATTTGTATGATCAGTCTTCCCCAGCCCCAGACCTGGCAAGGAACATAAAACACTGAACACATCCCAAAACAAACATCAATATAAATACACCCAGTTAGGAAGGAATATATTATTATTATTCGAGGTTCTTATATACCGCTTTATTACAACCTAGTTCGTAGTTCGTCTCAAAGTGGTTCACAAATTATTATCCGTGGTTATAGGGCCTTTGCAACCAGCCAATAACTTTCTTCTCCCTGGGGAGCATGCAGCCTGAGCTGCCATTTCGGCGCTAACAGCTAGCAGTCAACAATTCTAGCACTGCCCAACCACAAACTCATTTACAGCTGAGTAGACTGGAACAAGAGGAGTAAAGTATCTTGCTCAAAGATACATCACAGTGCCATACCATGACTCGAACCCACAACCCTTCGGTCGTGATCCATTCATGATGAAAGAACGAAACCTAATGTATAGCTATCAACTGTCTATTGATGTAGTGGTAGTGTTATCACTTTATTTGGGTATTCAGTCCTACAAAATTATGAACCGATTATACAGTTGATCATCGATTGGTTTACTACAATGTATACAACACCTGATTAATGTTTATGTCATTTGACTAATAAATCTATGAGTATCTACAAATTTAAACAGCCTGCCTAATATGTGGGTTTATGTGATACCTGCAGACTGAAGTACAGTCCACCAGAAAACTTTCATTCTGTCAATTATTTGCCATCCACCAGTAAAACTCCCTTCCTCGCCCAATGTGTATTTCACCCTTCACTGGGAAATTTATACTGTATAGGGCATGTTGTTTGGAGGAGGGCAAAAATGGTGATTTTTAAACTACGCTGAAAAATTCCTGGTGTATCGTATATGACATGATATATTAGCCCTCATTGAGGGGGGCAAAAATGGCGAATTTTAAACTACTCTGAAAATTTCCTGGTATTCAGTATTGCAGTGGCCCATATATGTACACATACCTATATTTTTCTTTGGATTTCTTCCCGTTCCTCTTGGACTTTTGTTTTCCTGTAAAAGGAGACGACCTTGTCACAACACAGAAATTATGAATCCACCAAGGTCACCTTTGCTGTCCATGCATGTCATCTATTGTATGTTAACCACTCTTTATCAATTTACCATTCACAACGATTGATTGTTTATCACTACCCGTTGGTATTGTAAACTTCCACAACCACATGCTATCCACTTTAATTGTCTCCCTTTTCACAGCTTCAATTTTGTGCCATTTTCCATCACAAATAACACTATGAAAATCCAGAGAAGTGTCACCCTCACAAATAACCGATAAGCTAGTTACAAACAGGACCTGAAATACTTACATAAGCACATATAACACTACCTCAACAAAACTGCAGGGGGGTTATACTATACACTACTGAAGCCTACCTTCACTGTACGTTCCGTACCACAGGGGGTTATACTATACACTACTGAAGCCTACCTTCACTGTACGTTTCCGTACCACAGGGGGTTATACTATACACTACTGAAGCCTACCTTCACTGTACGTTTCCGTACCACAGGGGGTTATACTATACACTACTGAAGCCTACCTTCACTGTACGTTTCCGTACCACAGGGGGTTATACTATACACTACTGAAGCCTACCTTCACTGTACGTTTCCGTACCACAGGGGGTTATACTATACACTACTGAAGCCTACCTTCACTGTACGTTTCCGTACCACAGGGGGTTATACTATACACTACTGAAGCCTACCTTCACTGTACGTTTCCGTACCACAGGGGGTTATACTATACACTACTGAAGCCTACCTTCACTGTACGTTTCCGTACCACAGGGGGTTATACTATACACTACTGAAGCCTACCTTCACTGTAAGTTTCCGTACCACAGGGGGTTATACTATACACTACTGAAGCCTACCTTCACTGTACGTTTCTGTACCACAGGGGGTTATACTATACACTACTGAAGCCTACCTTCACTGTATGTTTCCGTACCACAGGGGGTTATACTATACACTACTGAAGCCTACCTTCACTGTACGTTTCCGTACCACAGGGGGTTATACTATACACTACTGAAGCCTACCTTCACTGTACGTTTCCGTACCACAGGGGGTTATACTATACACTACTGAAGCCTACCTTCACTGTACGTTTCCGTACCACAGGGGGTTATACTATACACTACTGAAGCCTACCTTCACTGTACGTTTCCGTACTGCAGGGGGGTTATTCTGTATCCTACAAAGCAGAAAAAATACTTAAGATACATGGTGAGAAAAATTCATTTGTCAAACTAAGATATTGTCAAACATACATCAGGTAGCTCATTAGTTGAATTTTATCCCGGGCTGGATTTTGTCCCGATGACAGTTTTATTTGTTTGTGTTGTAACAGTTTGCCCCCACTTCAAGCCAGTACACTGGAAACCTTTGTATTGATCGGGTTACGTCTGAATGACCGATCAGGAGACGGGCAAGGACAACCTCGTCTCGGCGGGTTTTACTATAGCTTGGATACCATTCACCGACTTTTTGTTTTACACTGTCTACCAACGCCACATCATGTAAAACAGGCACTGTCAGCTACACAAACCTGTGGTTATCAAACTACGATCAAACGATTATGTTACACTGTCTACCAACGCCACATCATGTAAAACAGGCACTGGCAGCTACACAAACCTGTGGTTATCAAACTACGATCAAACGATAATGTTACACTGTCTACCAACACCACATCATGTAAAACAGGCACTGGCAGCTACACAAACCTGTGGTTATCAAACTAGGATCAAACGATAATGTTACACTGTCTACCAACGCCACATCATGTAAAACAGGCACTGGCAGCTACACAAACCTGTGGTTATCAAACTAGGATCAAACGATAATGTTACACTGTCTACCAACGCCACATCATGTAAAACAGGCACTGGCAGCTACACAAACCTGTGGTTATCAAACTAGGATCAAACGATAATGTTACACTGTCTACCAACGCCACATCATGTAAAACAGGCACTGGCAGCTACACAAACCTGTGGTTATCAAACTAGGATCAAACGATAATGTTACACTGTCTACCAACGCCACATCATGTAAAACAGGCACTGGCAGCTACACAAACCTGTGGTTATCAAACTAGGATCAAACGATAATGTTACACTGTCTACCAACGCCACATCATGTAAAACAGGCACTGGCAGCTACACAAACCTGTGGTTATCAAACTAGGATCAAACGATAATGTTACACTGTCTACCAACGCCACATCATGTAAAACAGGCACTGGCAGCTACACAAACCTGTGGTTATCAAACTAGGATCAAACGATAATGTTACACTGTCTACCAACGCCACATCATGTAAAACAGGCACTGGCAGCTACACAAACCTGTGGTTATCAAACTAGGATCAAACGATAATGTTACACTGTCTACCAACGCCACATCATGTAAAACAGGCACTGGCAGCTACACAAACCTGTGGTTATCAAACTACGATCAAACGATTATGTAAGTGCTAAAACATTTCCTCTGTAATTAGCAAATCATGTTTGTGATAGGGTTACAAATGAAGAACATGTACCAAAGTTATGACTGTTCTGGATGAGTGAGGTTATTTTCGGCCAAGAATAACTGAATTCTGGTTTTGACTTTTTACTTACCCCGTCTGTTGACTTCTCCGTGTCACAGGCTAAAACATAATAAAGCATGAAATGTCAAACACATTAACTTATACATTAGTTCAAAAACGTGACTAATAATATTTTCTAAGTGTTGATATTTGATATTTAACAATTAACATAATAGACCCCAGGGATAATCCTGGAAGGAGCCATGGGGCCATTGACCCCTCAAAACTGAAATTGACCCCTCCATGTTCCAATTTTTCTTTTAGTTTTACATAGAATGGCCCCTCTTAGTTTTGTTATGGATTAAAAATTGCTGAAATGGCCCACTGCTCTCAAATTCCAGGATTTTCCCTGAGATCTTATATCGTAACAATGGTTTCACATAAGCAAATGATATTGGTAAAACATCAAAGGATCACTCCATTCAGATACACCTAATTCAGCAAAACCAAAGAGAAGAAAAAAGAATCAATTCTTGATGCAAAGCAGTAGCTTCTCCCCCCTCCCTGATAAGCAGCTGAAATGACATATTACTGGGTATATTTCAAATTTTGCTAAAAGAAATTATCATTTGGATCCCCCTCCTAACAGTCCATCTGTTTATATTGGAAGAAAGTCATCTGTAAAAATGGTCTTATCATGGAAACCAGAAAGGTAACCTATGGCCACCATCCCCAGTGGTCTCGCAAAACCATCTCCATTGTACATGTCCCCACTAACAACTGACCAGACGAGTGCTAATTTTGATTTGCCTGTAGGCCACGTATCTGAATGGAGCAGCAACATCATGTTTACTCTTTCTAGTAGCCTTGTTCTCAAAAAATACTTTTGTCTGAAGCCTTTTTTTCCTTTTTATTTATTTGTAAGCAGTAGACATTCTCCATTACTAGTTATTATCCATATTATTTGTAATCCATCTTCTTCATCAATAATTGGTTTGGTTTGTTTGTGTTTTATGTCCTTTTAACAGCTATGGTCATTTAAGGACGTGCCAGGTTTGGTTTGTTTGTGTTTTATGTCCTATTAACAGCTATGGTTATTTAAGGACGTGCCATGTTTGGTTTGTTTGTGTTTTATGTCCTATTAACAGCTATGGTCATTTAAGGACGTGCCAGGTTTGGTTTGTTTGTGTTTTATGTCCTATTAACAGCTATGGTCATTTAAGGACGTACCAGGTTTGGTTTGTTTTAGTTTTACGTCCTATTAACAGCTATGGTCATTTAAGGACGTACCAGGTTTGGATTGTTTGTGTTTTATGTCCTATTACCAGCTATGGTCATTTAAGGACGTTCCAGGTTTGGTTTGTTTGTATTTTGTGTCCTATTAACAGCTATGGGCATTTAAGGACGTGCCAGGATTGGTTTGTTTGTGTTTTATGTCACATTAACAGCTATGGTCATTAAAGGATGTGCCAGGTTTGGTTTGTTTGTGTTTTATGTCCCATTAACAGCTATGGTCATTTAAGGACCAGTGCTCCAGATAACTTTTGAACATGTGGGGCTGACGTCACGGTCCAGACTGTTGGTCAAACGGATGGCCAAACCTTGTTGAACTTGAATGTTCGTCGTGCTCCAAACACAAGAAGGACAACGTTTTCACAAAGGGCTGCTCAAATATTCAAAAAAGTGCCCTTACCCGACATGAATAATCAGAGTATCACTTGTCCACTATTGAAAGTATCACAAAAGAAACTTCAATTAAAAAAAGAAACACGCTTCGTGAAACGGTCACAACATTAATGGAAGACATCGACGATGATGAAGTTACTGAGAGTAAAACAAATGACTGTGCCAATTCTGTATGTAGGACAATTTACTACGCAGCGAAAGAGACGAGACCAAGTGACAAATAGTGATTGTTTTAAAAGCGCCATGATTCAATTCTCGCTCATATAAGCGTTTGTAACAGGAGTACTATGCAAGCGTCTCAGTGACTCACTTGTAAGCGTATTATAATCTGCTAAATTGGTCCCGGAGACTGACGCAATGTTCCGGATTTTGCTTGCGTGAATTAAGCAAGTTCATTTTTTTCTTTTGCGTAATTTGTGAATTATCAGGCGTGAATACGCATTCACGCAAGCTATCTGGAGCACTGAAGGACGTACCAGGTTTGGTTTGGTTTGTTTGTGTTTTATGTCCTATTAACAGCTTTGGTCACTTAAGGATGTACCAGGTTTGGTCTGGTTTGTTTGTGTTTTACGTCCTATTAACAGCTAAGGTCATTTAAGGACGTGCCAGGTTTGGTTTGTTTGTGTTTTATGTCTTATTAACAGCTATGGTCACTTAAGGACGTACCAGGTTTGTTTTGTTTGTGTTTTATGTCCTATTAACAGCTATAGTCACTTAAGGATGTACCAGGTTTGGTTTGTTTGTGTTATATGTCCTATTAACAGCTATGGTCACTTAAGGATGTACCAGGTTTGGTTTGGTTTGTTTGTGTTTTACGTCCTATTAACAGCTATGGTCATTTAAGGACGGGCCAGGTTTGGTTTGTTTGAGTTTTATGTCCTATTAACAGCCATGGTCACTTAAGGATGTACCAGGTTTTGTTTGTTTTGGTTGTGTTTTACGTCCTATTAACAGCTATGGTCATTTAAGGATGTGCCAGGTTCTGTTGGTGGAGGAAAGCTGGTGTTCCCCGGAGAAAGCCACCGATCTACGCCCAGTACCTGGCGACTGCCCACCTAGGTCTCGAACCCGTCACCCTGTGGTGGAGGGCTAGTGGAAGCAAAATGCCAAGACACCTTAACCACCTGGCAACCGCAGCCCCACTCTTCAACAATTAAACTATTTATTAGTTTAAGAGATGCTAACAGTCACTTGACCATCCTTAGTGCTGAATTTCAACCCCCTCTCCTAGAAGGTTACTGTAAACTTCAGCCCCTCTCCTAGGAGGTTACTGTAAACTTCAGCCCCCTCTCCTAGAAGGTTACTGTAAACTTAACTTACTTTAGTATCATTTGCATCTGAATTATTGAGCTTGATTATGAATGTGCCAACCAAAGTTCATGTATATAATTCTCAATTGCATATTTTTGGGTTGCGCTAATTCGTCAATGTGCTAATGTACTAAATTTGATAATGTGCTAAAATTTGAGTGCACTATAATATGTATGTTCACAGTATATTCATTGTGTTTTCCATAATATCTGTCCACAGAGAAGCAGCTTTACAATTATGACAGAGTCGTAGCGTACCTTTTTACAAGGTGCCCGGCTTTCCAGAGTATTACTGTCCGTCAGTGCTGGCGAGGGCGTGACAAACATAAGGTGTGACGGCGAGTCTAGATTTGCAAAACTTGGTGTAAATGGCGTCCCTTGACCTTGAAACGGTGTCTGTAAATAAATATTAAACATTCCAATATCTGAGTCAGTAATGATTTAGAGTTACAGGATGCAAAATCAACATTTAGAGTTACAGGATACAAAATCAACATTTAGAGTTACACGATACAAAATCAACATTTAGAGTTACACGATACAAAATCAACATTCAGAGTTACTGGATACAAAATCAACATTTAGAGTTACAGGATACAAAATCAATATTTAGAGTTACAGGATACAAAATCAACATTTAGAGTTACAGGATACAAAATCAACATTTAGGATTGCTACTTTTAGAGTATGCTTCAGTCACCAAAATATTATCAAAACTTGGCACCATTCTCAATCCAACCTCCACAAACTGAGCGAAACTAAATCTCATTGGGAATGTGTATAAGTTTGGCTTATAACACGAAAATCCTTTGATTGGGAAATAGAGTACTAACCTGACTTTTGGACTCGCAGAGGGTGTGTTGCTGAAGTGTATCCGGAGTTTTCAGGAATTCCATCATGTCGAGGCGAGCCAAGTTGGGACTGCAGATGTGTTTGACCACCTGAGGTATTGTTGTGATCTGGGAGTTAGGCGGCGCCTTGAATACCTGACAGGGTTCACTTTTGTCACCTGTTCAGGAAACATATGTATATGTACAGAATGTTGAGATGGATAAACTGTCGGCAAAATATACATAGGATAAAGGCATACTCTTTACAGAATAGTTTACGCGTGACCTTTACCGCATTCACCTATAAACAAGCGAATTCACCTCGAGGGGATGAATGATTCGTTTTCTCTTACCCTGTAGACCTAGTCATATACATAATGTAATGTTGACGTTATATGCTCAACTCATTGTTGACCTGAGCCCGTAGTCATGAAACTGTTCTCATGCTCAAGCATGGATTTTGTGCTCAAACCAACTTTCTTGTAACCAACTTAAATCATGTCAAACGATCAAAAAGTCAAATGTAAACATTGAAAACAGTATTTGGCTTCAAGTCTCTTCAATTTTTCCCCCAAATCATTGACAAAGTAAGATTTCATCATAATATATAAACGGAACAAGAAATCAGGCTTGAGCACACAATCCATGCTTGAGCATGAGAACGGTTTCATGAATACGGGCTCAGGTGTTAATGAATTGTTGACAAGATGTCATTGTACTGTTGATGTCTTACAATTGTTACAACCCCCTCTCCCCTAGGATGTTAATGAATTGTTGACAAGATGTCATTGTACTGTTGATGTCTTACAATTGTTACAACCCCCTCTCCCCTAG